GATAGATAGATAGATAGATAGATAGATAGATAGATAGATAGATAGATTTGCCTTACCTGACCCAGCCTCCATGTTCTTCCACCTCCCTTCTGTTCTGCCAGGACTCTGATCAGATCACTTTTTTTCCCCAAGACAGGATATCTCTGTATAACCCTGGCTGTCCTGAAACTCACTCTGTAGACCAGGCTAGCCTGGAACCACCTCTGTAGACCAGGCTAGATCTCAAACTCAGACTTGCCCCTGCCTCCCATGTGCTGGAATTAAAGTTGTACAACACTACACCTTGCTCCGATTGCTCTTTTCACTGTTGATGAAAATAGTAACCATAGTCACACAGCTTTCTCTTTCTCCTCTCCTCCTTTGCCCCCTCACAGGGATTCAGAGGTGACTTTGCTACAGTGGCCACCATCTAGGCCCGATTTATAAAGTGGATTGGACTTACAAATAAATTAATCTAAAAATATTCCCCAGCCTTTTCTGATATATATGATTTATGCATGTCTCTTCCCTCGTGTGGGTTAGATTCTTGCTCTGTTAATTGTACCTTGGTGCACACAATTTTAATTTTAAGGAATAAATGTGTCTATTTTTTTGTTTGTTTGTTTGTTTGTTTCCTGGACCGTTGGGAGTCCATTAGAGAAATCATTGCTACATCCACTGTCACGAAGCTGTTGTCCAGCTTCCGTGTGAGTGCCAGGTTTTACGCTCTTACATCTCTTAGACTCAGGTTTGTCATTTGCGTGGGTTGTGTCTCTGCCCCTTTCCATCCTGCTTGTCTGTTTTGTCCTCCCTCCCAGGCAGCTCTGCCTCTGCCGCACTGTGATGCCGTAGGTGCAGGGTTTCCTACTCCCATGTAAGGTCCACACCTGAGAGAGCAGTGTTGGTCTCTCTGAGACGGGATCAGTTCCCTTAATATGACTATCTTTAGTTGCATCCATTTTCCTGCAAATGACATAACTTTGTTATTCTTTATGGCTGAAAAAATCCCATTGTGTATGTGAACCACGTTTTCTTTTTGATTCCTCTGCTCTTGGCTACCTAGTTGGCTCCATCCGGGTTAGTGTTTGTCTGTGGTGTTAGGTAAGATTAAACTTGATCCTGCTGCAGAGAGCTGTCCATCTCCCAGGACCACCAATTTGCTGTAAAGATAATCTCTCTAGCACAGTCGTGATACCATTGTCAAAATACCTGTGGGAAGGGTTCCTTCTGCAGGCTCTGTGCCGTTCCACCATGCACATATGCATAAGTCCTTATGCTCGTCCCACATGGTTGGCTTTGCCTTTCTCAGTGTAAGTTTTGCTGGGTGTGTGTGTGTGTGTATGTGTGTGTGTGTGTGTGTAAGCCGTCCTGCATGCCACCTGGTACCTATGTAAAAATCAGGACAACTTGCCACTTGGTTCTCTCCTTCCATATGGGCCCTAAAAACCAAACTCAGCTCACCAAGCTCGGGAAAAGTGCTATTTCCACTGTGCCATCTCACCGGCCCGGTGTTTCGGGATGTTTGTGATGAGGTCTGACTCTGCAGCCCAGACTGGCTTCAAACTGGTCCTTCTGCCATGGGCATGAGCCACCATACTAAACTTAATTTTCCTTTTTTTCTTTTTCTTTTTGCAGTGCTGGGGAAAATCAAAACCAAGGCCATCATAGATTTCATGGGGTCAAGCACAGTAACCTCAGATGTGGCTGGCATCAGCAGGTGTCTGTAGGGGGGTCTGGGGAAGGAGCAGCTGCAGCAGAGGGGCAGAGGCGTCTGGGTCTTTGCCTGGGCTGTGCTGGCCCTGCCCCTAGGCACCTTCCTCCGCAGCTCTGACAGCCCAAGCTTCAGGTCACTTGTTCTCTGAGCTCTCCCCATGTGCTAGTCAAGAGCACCCCAGCAGAGCGTCTGGGAACCAACTGTCTTTAAGCACCGGCCTGCTGACCTCTTCCCTGCTCTTGCCCATCTCCCTTGCTCACTCGTCTCTGTTTTCTTCTCTCTGCAGATGAAGCTCCTCAACCTTTATATCAAGAGGGCCCAGACCACCAACAGCAACAGCAGCTCCTCCTCCGATGTGTCCACACACAGCTAGTGGCCGTGCCGGTCTGTGAACCCACGCGGTGGCACCTCTGCGACTCCCCATCAGCTGTCTAGTCCCTTCGAGGAGGCCGCACATAATTTATTACAATCAGTATTTTGGTCCCTTCCAGCTTTTGTGTAGATTTTGCTGGTATTGAATGTAACGGGAGCAAGGCCTGTTATGCAGTTTCCCTAGAAACAAAAGAACTGAGAACAGAGCCACACTCACACGTGTCTTGCACCGCCTGCTGACATCACCAAACCATGGAGGGCACAGTTCTTAGGACCCAGAGCTCTCCAGCCTGTGCTTGGTACACAGTAGCATATTTTTTCAGCCCACAGACCTGGGGGTGGTTTGGGGTGTTGCTGTGTTCTTTATGTCTATGTTCCTAGAGCGTGGTCAGATGGGACAAGACCCCCACCTGTGGTCCACCTGGCCCTGAGAGAGGCTGTGTGTGTCTTTAGGTTTTGTCTTACGAGAACTTGTCAAAGTGGACCGCAGCCTGGGCACAAAAAGGACAACAACCTGGAGCTGGCCTCATGCCAAACAGGCTGCACAGGAGCCAGGCCTGCCTTTGGGGACAGAAATCAGTAATGCCACCAAAATTTTCATGGTTGCATTAAATAAAAGGTGACTGCAGAATGCCAAGATTGGAAACAGGCTTGCATTGTGTTTCCTTCCCAGGGAATCACTGGCCTAACCTCTTGAAGGTCTTTTGACCCAGCAACTAATGTAGAGTCTGGCTAAATATATTTTGATTAAAATTCTTAAGCCAAATGACAATTCTTAATGCAATCATGCAAACTTTTTTAGGCTGACCTTGGACTTGGTATCCTCTTGCCTCTAGCCTCCAAAATACTGGGTTTATAGATATGGGCCACAAGCCCAGCAAAAAGATTCTTTGGGGGAGTTAATTTTAGCAAAGCATGTGCCCTTGCAGTGCAGAGCCCACTTCAGCTACCAGAGATGAAAGGAGAGGTTAGGCACTGAATTCTCAGCCCTGATTCCAGCACTGCTCTCTGACCTACCAAATGATTTGGTTGGCCATGGTGGCGCACACCTTTAATCCCAGCACTTGGGAGGCAGAGGCAGGTGGATTTCTGTGAGTTCTAATCCAGCCTTGTATACAGAGTCAGTTCCAGGACAGCTGGGGCTATATAGACTCTGTCTCAAGAAACAATCAAAAAGAGGTAGGAAGGTTGAGAAAGACCTATGCTGTATTTAGAAATACACTGAAAATGAAGGCCGTGTGTGTGTGTGTGTGTGTGTGTGTGTGTGTGAAGAGTGGCTCACACGTGTAACTGCCCCCACTGCTGCTGTCCGGAGAACTCAGGGGTGCATTTTAAGGATTTGCTATTATTGACTGGTCTGAAATCAAAATTTAGCAGGCCAGACCTTCATTTTAGTTAAAAAAAAAAAAAAAAAGAAAGAAAAAAGAAAAAAATCCTGTCTGTTAAGGGTTCATTAATGAAATTCCTTCTCACCCTCCACCAGGGTCCCTGTGTTGTAGCCACTGCCCTGTAGAATTGTGCATCTTGGCCCGGTTACTTAGGAGTTCTCTTATGCCTAATGCAGTTAGAAGGGCCCTTCTCTGGAGTTCTCTGCCCCACAGATGGTCACCATGTCCCCACCGTAACTGGACAGTTCCAGAATATTGCCTGATTTCCTCATGGCACTCACGAAGGGCTAGCCTCGAATGTCATGTGCCCTCTTCCACCTGAGTAGAAAGAATACAGTCATTTCACAGGTCTCTTGGGCTCAATCTGAAGACTGCTGCCCACAATGCTGAGGAGACTCGCATGCCATCACCACCTCACGGAGGGCGACTGCGCCGCTCCGGAACCCTGACAGCTACTGCTGCCTTGCCTTGCCTCCACCTCCCCAAAGAACTCTGCTGGAAGCACCTAGACCCGGAAGGACTCTTCACGGCTCCCAGAACTGTGTTTGCCTCCCCATCTATCTTGACTATCCAGGGCCTTGAAACCCCCTACCCTGTATCCAGGGGGACTGCTCATCTGACTTCCTGCTTCCTGGCAAGCTGCCCCTCCCTTACTGGACAGGCGCTCTCCAGGTACACTGGTGTGCTGTGCGGCCCTGGTGCCCACAGATGGCCTGGGCCCGCCCGCCGTATCTATGGCTCACTACTAGCTTATCACCACCTGTGCAGCTCACGCGGCAGGTTTGTCTCAGACGTCTTCTGTTTCTTTCTCTGCCACCCTTATGGAAACTCACACTTTAAAAGACAGCAGATTAGAACTTCGTAGACCCCCAACCAGGACTCTGCTAACAATGTTTGGAAGAAATAAATGCTCTGAAAACAATCAGCCACCAAAATAGCTCACACGCATGGTCCCTGCGCCCCCAGATTGGGTGTTGTTTGTTTTGGGTTTTTTGGGGGCTTTTTCATGTTACATCCATAATCTGTATTTATATCTTATTTGTTTCACCTTCCAAGTGTATCATGGCAAATGTACAGATTTTTTTGTTGTTGTTAATAATGTGCTAGGATTTGCTAAAAAAGAAAATTAAAAAAAAAAAGACCTCGAGTTTGCCCTGGAATATGTGACAATCCAGTTAAAACTGTGTTTGGTACTGTGAGAACCCTCAGGTGACCTGTAGTTTCTTGTCAGATTGTCATTGTCCTGCTGTGTTTACAGAGATACTGAGAGTACACCTCTTTGTGACAGTAAAGGGTCAAACTGAGAAGGTGAAACTGAGTAGTTCAGCCAGTAATGACACTTGCTTTGTGGTCCTGACAACCTGAGTGTGATCCCCAAACCCATATAAATGTAGGAGAGCACTGACTCCATCCAGCTGCCCTCCAGTCTGCATGTGAAGGCCACAGTATGAATCTCCTCCCCACCATACACATACAATAATAATAGATTTAAAAAGAAAAAAAGGCCAGGCATGCCTTAATTTCAGCACTCTGGGAGGTTTTCTCTTGTGTGAGTTCGAGGTCATCCTGAGCCACATAGTGAGTTCCAGAAGAGCCACAAGCTGTCAACAAAACAAAAGACCAAGTACTGTCTTGATGGTGCACACCTTTAATCCCAGCACTCAGGAGGCAGATGGATCTCTGTGAACGGCCATGTGGTGTAACATGGAGGGCCAGCTTGTTGGGGTTTCTGTCCCGCCCGGTACCCCACAGCTGGCAACTCCCAACAAAAATCACACACAGGACTCCATAAGATTATAAAGCTGATTGGCCCATTAGGTCAGGCTACTTATTAGTTCTTATGACTTATCTTAACCCATTTTTCTGATCTATGTTAGCCATATGGCTTGGTACCTTTTTCAGCTGGGCAAGTTACATGCTGCCTCTTCGGTGGTCTGCGCAGGAGTGGAGAGAGAGCTTCCTGTGTCCCAGAATACTCCCAGTCTCTTTGCTCCACCCCTACTTCCTGTCTGGCTTTCCCGCCTATACTGCCTGCCTGGCCAATCAGCGTTTTATTAAAATATGATTGACATAATACAGACAATTCTCCCACACCAATATGGGTTTACAGCTTGGTCTACATAGCAAGTTCAATGCTAGCCCCTAGCTCTAAATAAATAAATAAATAAATAAATAAATAAATGCCATGTGATGGTGGTGTGCACCTTTGATCCCAGAATTTGGGAGGCAAAGCAAGGTAGATCTCTTGAGTTCAAGGCTAGCTTGGTCTACAAATGTGTTCCAGGACAGCCAGGGCTACATAGAGCCTGTCTCAAAATTAAGAGATGTCAAACTGTCTGGGAAACCCCCCTCCATCCAGTGTCTTTCGTCAGCCCCTGCTGTGTGATGAGACAGGAAACTGGGGGCACATGGGGTATGAGTCCCCAACCCTTCAGCTGCCTGAGCGAGTTCCTGTCTGAACCCCATTTTCCCAGTCAAGCAACAACACTCTCTTCTAGAAGAGCTCAAAGCAGGGAGGAAACTGACCCTGGCTCCCAGACTGGACCAGACCTGGTGAGAACGAGGGCTAGTCTGTGCTGTCTCGGCTCTGCAGCCCTGGCACTGACCGCTGGGCACCAGCTGTAGTGTGGCCCTAGAAGAGGGCACGGTGGAGTGACTCCACAGCCTCCTCGGAGCCTGGCAATGTAACATTTGCCATATTGGCGCCCACTACCACTGATCAGTTCCCGTCCCTGCTCTCCCTGAGGGCCGTGTGTGTGGTGTGCATGCTGGCCAGCGGACAGCCACACACAGGTGGTGGTCCTCGAGGGCTGGCAATTTCATTGCTTGAGAGAGGGTCTCTCACCGATAGGATTTCACCCCAGGCGTTTGCCTGTCCCCACTTCCCCTGCACTAGGATTACAAGTACACGCTTCTGTGTTTGACTTTTTAATATGTGTTCTGGGAACAAACACAGTCAAGAACTTTATCACCTAAGTGGTGACTCCGCCCTGACTCTGAATGTAGCTTCTATATTATGTAACTCTGAGAAATAGTCGTAGAATTCCACCTTTTTATGAGTGCCCAATATGTTTGATGGGTCACGATGTCCTCACAGTTCTTCCATGATATAGCAAGTGTCACAATTCCCTTCTTTTATAAGGCTGAATAACACCTGGATAGACCCCCAGTCTCGGGGTCTCACAGAGGATGTTGAGGGCCCAGTTTTGAGAAGCTGGGGTACAATTGTGAGTTCAAGTCCAGCCTAGGCTATGTAGTAAGCACCCATCTCAAAGAACAAGACAGAAAGGAACTGCTTGGTAGAAGCACTGTGTGAACTTTAGAGGTGATATCAATCAACTCTTGGCTGCTGGTCCCCTGCTCCGCTCCCTCCATAGCCTGGAGTGTACAGGGGGGAGACATCGCCCGCACCCCTCCGCACACTCTTGGCTGCTGGTCCCCTGCTCCACTCCCTCCACAGCCTGGAGTGTACAGGGGGGAGACATCACCCGCACCCCTCCGCACATACTCAGGTTCCATTCATTAGCAAGCATGGAAAACCCTGAGAGAGGAAGGACGGACTCAGTGTCCTCTGTTTGGTTCTCTAAGCCCAGCGCCATTGCTGCTCCTTTTCCAGGAAGCAGCTGAGCAGTGCTTACTGTTCTAGGAAGATGGCAGGCTGGCAGCGGGGACAGAGTCTCCAGCTGTTCCTGGTTCTGGGAGTTAAACTTGCTGTCTGCTCGGCTTTGAAGGAAGTCATAGAAGGGATCTGAACCCCCTGAAACTGCTGAGGGTCTCAAGATGAGGATCTCTGGTATGAAGTTCCTTCGTGCTTATGACATTCTCCCATTAGCAGGAAGGGTGACTGAGAACCCAACATCCTTTGTGAAGTATTTGATGCTTTTTAAAAAATTTAAATTAGGGCTGATGAGATAACTCGGGAATGAATGGGGTTTTCCACAAAGCCTGAGACCCCCAAGTTGGAAGGCAACGACTGATTTTCACACACACACACACACACACACACAGAGAGAGAGAGAGACAGACAGACAGACAGACAGACAGACACAGCGTGACAGAGACACACATACACACACACACACACACACACAGAGACAGAAAGACAGACACAGAAAGAGAGAAGACATAGAGAGTGACAGAGACACACATACACACACCATTTTTTAAATGTAGGCAAGGGACTGGAGAAAATGGCTATTGGCAGTTAAGAACACTGGCTGCTCTTTCAGAAAACCTGAATTCAGTTCCCAGCATCCACACTGCAGATGCCCTCTTCTGACTGTCAGGGTACCAAGCATGCATGTGGTAGTACATACATGCATGCAAGTACTTATGCACATAAATATAAATCTAAAAAAAAAACTTTACAAAACAAAAATGGAGATAAGTTCCCTTTTGTTTCTGCCATTGAATGGCACAAGCAAGTTCCCAACCAGGTGTCCTGCCTCTGGCTCCCATCTTGCCATAGGAGTGCTGGGATGAAAGGCTACCACACTGGCTTTTTACTTGGATCCAGGAGTTGAACTCAGAACATCTGGCTTTTGCAGCAAGTATGTTTTACCAGCTGAGCCATCTCACCAATCCATACAATGTTTTTGAAAAATTCTCATCTGTGACTTATTACAGATGTGCAGATAATAGAACCGCTGTCCTTTTCCAGTTCCAGATGAGGAAACTGAGGCACAGGAAAAACCCCAGCTAGAGAGTGACAAATGGGACCAGGACCAGCCCCAGGCTCCTCCCTACGAGCTCAGTGACTTCCTTTACACCTCACTGGGACATTTACTTTCCCTGCAGCTGCGGAGATATCTGGGTCCTTGCATAGGTAAGAACCCTCCAGAGCTCCAACCCCCCAGAGCAGTGGTGAGCCTGAGAATGGATTCCTAGCAAGTGCCCAAGCGATGCTGAGTCTGCTGGCCTGTTTCTCAATGAACCCTCATGAATGTTCTAGAGTCTAGAATCTAGACTGGTGGAAAATAGCATGAGGCCTCAGGAAACTTAGCCTAGAGGGCCGCCTTGCCTGAGGTTATGGGTAACTATAGCAACAGCCAACAACACCATAACTAGGACCATGGAAAGTGAAATAGGCTGGGCTGGGGAGAGAGAGCTCAGCTGGCAAAGTGCTTGTCAAGTTCAATGCCCAGAACCCAGACATGTAAAATGTCAGGTGTGGTGGCACACCCTTGCAACGCCATCACTGGGGAGGATGCCTTGGGCTTGCTGGCCGGCCAACCTCGCCTAATGTGTTAGCTCCAGATCAATGACAGACCCTGTCTCTAAAGTAAGGTGGGTAGCAATCCTGAGGTTCTCTTCTGACCTCTACGTATGTGAGCACATGCATGTACACACACCCACCCATGGGTACACACACACACACACACACACACACACACACACACACACATTTTAACTGAAAAAGGTACATGTTAGAACCCAGGCAGACGTGTCCAGGCATGCTGGGCACAAAGCTCTCTGTTCAGGGATGGACTTCCTCCATGAGCTCAGCCCAAACCTCCCTGACCCCTCTGGTTCCTCCTGTATTTATTAACTCACACTTTGGAGGCTCCAGGCAAGAATGGACAAAGGTCATGGGAATGGGGATCTAATGCTGGGTTACGTATTGAAAGGCAGCCTCTCCACGTCCAGAGGGACCAGTCAGGGAGGTGTGGGATGGAGCATGAAGGCATCTGGTTTAGGCTCTGAACCTCTTCAGCATCCTCCCCTAGAAGAGTCTAGAGAGCTCCTGAACCTGTCTGATGCCTACCTAGTCAGTGCCTATTGGTCCTCCATTTCCTGATCTACGCCTGGACACCTCAGGCTGCAGTCTCAGTGATGAAAGTTTGCTATCTGTCCGGCTTTGGTCCAGAGAACCATCTGTAATCAGGAGCTTGATTACTCCTACTTCATAGACTAGAAACA